AGAGAGAGAGAGAGAGAGAGAGAGAGAGAGAGAGAGAGAGAGAGAGAGAGAGAGAGAGAGAGAGAGAGAGAGCAAAGACGGGGCATGCAATCTCGATCTCTCTAAGAACACGATTCTTTCACATCGATGACAGTTTTCTCCATCTTTCCTCCCTCTCTCTCTCTTCTTTTCTTTTTTTTCCCTGTTCTCTCTCTGTCTTTTTTCTTTTGCTGTGTGTATCCCTCCGGTGCTCTTTTCTCCTGTTCTCGCTGTTTCTCCCTTTTTCGCTCTCTTCTCTGTTTTTTACCCGGCAATCCTCCTTTTCCCTGCTGGATATCTTTCTCCTTTCTGTGCTGGACACATCTTGCGTCCAGTTGGTCCTTGCCCGGCGTGGCGAATTCCTCACGCACATGCGCAAGGACCGTTCTTCTCCCTTCTCTTTCTCTTGCACGTCCACGTCAGACCTGGCGTGCATGTAGACTTCTGTCATGTATTGTTATGCGCAAAGTCACAACGGAAGTCTACATGCAAGCCAACATCCCTCTCTTCTCTCCTCTCTTCTTTCTCCTCTCTCTTCTCTCTTCTCTCTTCTAAGTCAATGTGGAAGCCAACATCCCTCTCTTCATGCGCAAGGACCTCTCTTCTCTCCTCTCTCTCTCTCTCTTGCAAGTATACTTCAGACCTGGCGTGCATGCAGACTTCTGTCATGCATTGTCATGCGCCTCCTCTCTTCGCTCTCCTCTCTTCTCCCTCTTCTCTCTCTCTAAGTCGACGTGGAAGCCAACATCCCTCTCCTCTCTCTTCTCTCTCTTCTCTCTCTTCTCTCTCTTCTCTGTTTTCTCTCTCTTGCTTTGACTAATTTCATAGGTTTTTTTTTTGTTGAAATTTGACGGATGTTGACTGATGATTGATTTCTTTCGATTGATGCAATCTTATTGGATTTGGATTGCGGTTGATTGGATTGGCTTTTTCTTGATGTGATTTTCTTGATTGATCTCATGCATTGATTTGTTTCTGTTTGTTGATGTTTGAGAGTGACTTGTGCGTTTCATGAATCCTAATTAATGTAGTTGGTTGATTTAAAAAAACGAAAAGCTAGGTTACCGGGCCGGGCGTCCGGGACCCCCCTGACCGTCCAGGATGTCCGACTGGACGCCTGGTCGGATGCTGGACCGGACAGGGTATGTCGGACCTAGTGCCAAAAAAATAAAAATAAAAAAAATAATGTGGCTTTCACCTTGCATAAGGTGTATGCCACCAAATTTTTGGCTCATTTGGGCAAGTCGAATAAACAATAAAAAACTTCATCCCCACCAAAATCC